TATTCAAGTTAATGCAATTTGTGATTTAAAAAAACAAAACTGCAAGTTTTCATTCGAGAGGCTTCATTTGAGAGGCTTCCTGGAAGCACAATCTACAGTCTAGCCCTATGCAAAGTCACTCCCCGCCTGCGCCCACGGCTTTTGGTGGGCAGAGCTCGCAGTAGTTCTGCAGAGGATCGTACTGTAAGGGACTGACAGTACTAACCTGAGCGGGCTGGTCCCCTTCTAAGACCACGGACTCCAATGGACTTAGAAGTGTGTAACTCTGCTTAGGACAACATTGTAAAGTACTGATGAAAACCCAGACCAAAGTGGGCCTGTCTTTTCTCCAAAAGGGGGGGGGGGGGGGCTGCCAGGGAACACAAGAAAGAAGAGAGCAAAAAAGTCTAAAGCAAATAAGACTACAACAGAACAAAGGGGGAAATGCAGAACGGTTTGATCACGTTTTTAGGAGAGGGTTCTTCGGGACGCTGAAACGCAAAGAACTTTACATACATACTTCCGCTGCTGTGGCAAAAGGACTTTGTTTTAATTATTCTGCCGTTTGCTTTTATCTTTTTTAACTGTCCCTTTCAAAGCATTTGGGAGCCGCTGTGTCTATAATTATATAGAGACATGGGAAAACAAATTGTTGGAGCAGAGCTTCCATTCACAAGGTGTGTCACCGAGTTCTCAGTTCAGTGTTTATCAACATATACAAGTCCACTCTACTTTTCCGCACTATTGCAGCATTCGGAAGAGATCACTGTCGCATAATAACAGCTTTGGAAAGTGCTATCAGCTGTACCTTGCTATTTCAGCTGTCTCATGACATTGTGTAGAGGAGGAGGAGGAGGAAGGGGACTTGTGCCAGTGGGGAACAAGAAAAGAATGAATTGCACATCAATGGCAAACAAGATCAAAGGAAAGATCAATAGTTTAAAAGCCACAACAGATCAATTGTGCCTTAACAGCATTAGAGTAAAAAAAGGCTGGTGGATTGTTCCATCATTATGAGATCCTGGCAATATTATCATATATTTTATTCCCCCCCCCTTTTTTGGTTCAAAGGACTGTAACGCGAAGATTCATGAACTCACACAGCATCAATATTAGTTGCAATGACAACAATATTCATTCTCTCAGGCAATCAGTGCTTGATGAACAGTACTGATTGTAATGTTGCTAACCTGTTGCAATCCAATTTTTAAAGGGGGAACAGAACCAGGGAAAAGATAAAAAGAAAATAATAATGTGTTACTGAAACCTGGCTGGAAGACTCCCATAGTTTGAACACAGTAACTGAAGGATAAAATTAGAAAACAACAGATGGAACAGAAAAGGAGGGGGATTAAATATTATAAGTAAAAAATGCATACATCTACACAGAAATCCATGATGGTGGCCCTGCTGAGAGCATGTGGGAAGGAAGGAAGAAGGAAAGGAGGGAAGGGAGGGAGGGAGGGGGAGAGAGAGAGAGA